AATGATGATGATAGATGGATCATCGTTACTATCGTTACCACTAGTATCATTAAAGTAATAATATGAGACCAATACTATCATCAGCATGGTCAAGTAGTAGTATACTACTAGATACTCGAGATTATGTCACTATACACACCTACATCATTTATTCCGATCTACTATCAAGGCAGGTGGTGGCAGCAGCAGCAGCATCACATCATCACCAAGAAAACGAGGAGATGGTGGTGGTGGTGTTAATGGAATAGACAGTATTATTATATCATCTAAGAATATTAGACTACATCAAACAAGTATTGGTACCTTCCTAGCATCAAGTATTCGTGATGGTAAATCTATCTATAATATCATCATGCATCATCATCATCATCATGCTACTGCTTACTCAGCAGAAATACTATCATCATCGTCATCATCGCCATTGATATGTGATTGTTGTATCTACCCATCTGGAGCTATACGACGTGCTTATGTATATCCAACAACGACAATAGTAGATGATGATGATGATACACAAGAAGGTGGAGATCATCATCATCACCATAAACAGGCAGGGATGGATTTCAGTTATCATGATTTGAAGTAATAATAATAATAACACCGACTAGCATCATTAGCATGACCTCCTCCTCCTCCTCATTATTATTATTATTATCATGGTCAGATGTGAAATACCATATAATGATGATGTAGTAAGCGTATCAATGGCTGGTTATATAATTAGAGATGCTGTTAAATATTCGAGGAGACGTTGTAAAGGGACAGGTGGTTATCTACAATTATGTGATGCTATTGAAGTTGATATTAATGATTCATCAATAATAACAAGAATACGTGGTAAACCACTAGAATTAGATAAACAATACATAGTAGCTACAGCACTCATTACTCTACAAGGTAGTAGTAGTAGTAGTAGTCATAAAGCTCAAAGCTGTGATTATCATCATCATTATGCTGCTGTTGTTGCTGTCCTCTACAACATTATAATCATCAAGTTGATAATGATTATGATGATGCAGGTGTTGATAATAATGAGGTCTTGACCTCCTGGTATAAGGACACGTATTTACAACAACAACAACAACAACAACAACAACAACAACAACAACAGTTCCGACGAGAACGATCATCATCATCATCATCATCATCATCATCATCATTGCATGCATACATGGATCCATTATACAACATCACTGATGACTCTATGATCGATAATGATGATGATAACGATGATTCGTCAAATAGACGGCGGCTTAATGATGTGATCTCGACGTTTAGAATACCAGCTAAACAAGCCATTATAGCATTGTAGGGCTACCGCCCCCGCCACCACTATCACCTACTACTACTACTACTACTACTACTACTACTACTACTACTACTACTACTACTACTACTACTACTACTCCTAGTAGTAGTACGATGGTGTCATAATCATTCATTAGGTACTCTATGGAAACATGGGCTTCCTTACACTTACAACAACAACAACAACAACAACAACAACAACAACAACACGATGATGATGATGATGATGATGATGATGATCACCATTGTTGTTGTTGTTGTCGTAGAGATGAAAGCATATCAGCCAGTGCATTAGCGAAGCTTGCCAATATCGAATATGTGGAATGTCATGTAATATAATATCAGCCATTATTACACCAATCTACAACAACAACATCATCATCATCATCATCATCAACTGCTGCTGCTGCTGTTGCTGTTGCTCCTGTTAGTAGCCTGCTACTTTCAATTGTAATATTCTCAGGCGTTCCATAACTTCCTAGTTGTTGGAGGTCTTGATCCCATTCCACCCTCTAGTAGTGGCTATTCATCATCATCATCATCACGACCACAAGGTGATGATGATGATGATGACCACGATTATGATTATGATAGGGATAGTAGATCATCATCATCACAAGAATGGTCATTTGATCTATCGCGCGTCATTAGCGCCAAACACACAGCATGCGAATGTTTATCCTATCTGAGAGGAAATCATCATCATCGTCATCAAGAGTTATCTCCCATTCAACAACAACAACAACGAAGGGGAACAACAACTGTGGTTATCGAGTCAACTGGTCATGATAACAATACGGAGGAAGAGGAGGGGGTCCAAACAAAGAGTAGTTCCATAACTGCATTAAGAGAGTATCATCATCATCATCAACATGAAGGAGAAGAACATGAACGCTTTGGTCTTGGATCTCAACGTCGATGGTGTTTGTTCCCTTGGCTAAGTGTCCTGCCACCAAACTCATCATCATTATTATTGTCCAACAATAACGATGATGATATTACTCCTATACTGTCCTATACTGGCTCACGGACTTACCCCAAATGTTGTCCACGGAATCCTGAGGAGTCAGAAGAAGAAGAAGACGACGACGTATACCATATACCCGATCATGATCATAATCATCGTCGTCGAATCAAGCCCAAAGATTGGCCTCACTATTTGATTATTTAATTACCTCATTGTTGTCTATCTGATGAGCCCTTGGTTGTATGATGACGTATGATGAGAGATACAGATGATGATGACAAAGACGATGACGACGACGACGAAGCCTGGGTTCATAACCAAGCCTGGCAGTTTAACATGAGATGTTAGACCTACATCAATACTGATGAGTGTTTGAGTTAAGACTGCTGCTGCTGCTGCTGCTTCTGCTGTCGCTTCATAGCTCGGTTACACTTTATATCATTGTGCTACATTAACCATGCTACTGTTAGTGTTGCCTAGTCAAGTATCGATCGATTTCTCATGGAACCCACCTATTTTTCTCGTCATGTCGAGACCCAAGCCTTTTTCTAGTTTGTTTTGGAAGGAATATGTCCAATTAAGTGTCATCAGTTAGCAGCCGATGCATAGTGGAAACCCTTACAATGAGGATATCAACTCAATCACAGTTCTTTGTTAATAGTTATTGTGCTGCATTCCTATTATCTGCACAATTGCATTATCATTATATCGTTGGAACGACATATTCTGTAAATTGTCTAATATGTCAAGTTTAAAGGTCGTCAAGTTTCGTCGTCAAGTTTCAAGAGATCTTGTGATCAAGTAGTGCTACTAATCAATCAAGGATGGTGGTCATACAAACAATCATCAGGATTTCGCATCGTCGTCATCAGGGAGCATCATCATTCTTCAACACAGTGATACATGCAAGTTCGGCTCTGAAGAAGCGAACATATTCTCATTTCTAACCTCAGGAGTGGTGTGACGCTGTCAGGGGCGGCGGCGGCGGCGCTAAGGTTTGTTGCCAGTCTCAAGACTAGCCTCGAGCCAAGAATCAGTACATAAGCCGTAAGTCTCACCGACTTGGAGCTCGATCTTAGCAAGTGTGCTTTCTAGCTGTCCCTACTGTCATCCGCGACTCTGAACTCAAGTCTGAAGTTTCCAATGTAGGTTGATGGGCTGTAAAGTAAGGTCCAATACCGCTCATTAGAAAGCGTGTGACAAGGACTACAACAGTCAATACGGCTTGATAGCTCTATCGAAATATGGAGACAGGCGAATAGGAGTTCTCATCCTAAAGCCGTCTCGTCTCAAAGAAAAATAATCGATGGCGTACGCGCGTTTTACGACGCCGACTCGCGTCCCACGCGTCACCATCTATAGCGTAAACCCGCTATGGAAAAATGGGGTGGTGAGAAATGAGGAAAGTCATGGGTCAGGGTGACAGACTCCCCCCTTTCCGCGTTTCTCACGCTTCAAGATAGCCGGCTTCAACCAATTCCCGACGACTCTGCTGACGCAGTCGTCCCGTTTCCGTGCGAGACAGACGCAGAAGCACTTTGTCTACTTCTCGTAGCACCGCTATGGCCCCAGGTGGACACATTGAAGAAAAGGAATAAGTACCAGAGGCAGGATCCAACCACACCGGCTGACACATCCCCGATGGAGATTCCATCAGCTCCATGACGTGAATAGTGCCAGTCCGTAAGCCATCAGCGGTAGCCAATCCCATAGCATCTTCTCCATCGTTAAGTCGACATAAGATGAGATCGCCTCGCCTGACAGAAGCCTTACGGATCGTAGACTCGAAGGCCACCGTCGCTCGGTTACGCGCTACCGGTAGGCCCCGCGGTTCCAAGTGTACTGCCGACACGGGTACCAAATGTTCAGTCCCGAGAGGTTCCAACATAACTACCTGTCCAGCTTGTGAGTTTAGGTATACAAAAGGGCCGTCGTTGAAGCTTGGTCCCTGAACGAGTCGTACATGGCCCTCAACAGGAAGACACTCAGGGCGACGCCCAAACGACCAATTCACCATCCACAGGTAGCCTTCCAGTAGCAGCAGCCATGCGTCTGACCGCATCAGCCGCATGCTTGCCACATCCAGGCCACCAGAAATGCCGTACGAGTGCCTCTAGAGCACTGTCCACACCTTGATGCAAAGACAAATCGTGGTAGACGAACGACACCCATTCCCTAATACTCCATCCAGGTAGGTAATTAGTAGACAAGAGCGCCGGTAGGTCCTCAGCTGAGCCCAAAGGGATAACCAGAGACCATATAATTTCGTCCGCGACCGCATCACGAATAACGAACAGACCCGGTCCCCACCGGACCAAACCAATCGCCAGCGCGGCTACGGCCGATGAAGGGAGGTCTTCATCAGCAGTATCATCAGTATGGAGGAAATACGAACACCATTTGGCTAGGGTCGCACCGTGCACCTTAGTAGTGTTATCGATCTTCTGCTTGTCAATGATGAAGTCGTTAGCATTATCGAAAAAAGACAACAACCGGTTGAGGTCCTCTCCACCTTGTCGTCCCCCGCCTTCTTCTGCATCGGAGACAATCGGCACTGCCAGAGCAAGTGGCCGAGAATGACCTTCCGATAAGATGGCGTTTTCCCCGGGTAGCAGTCTAGATAGGATATCGGATAACCGGTTTCGAGGACCATTCACATGGCGAACGGTAAGATCAACTTCTGGGAAGTCAGAAAGATCTGCTAACCATCCAAGCCATCGTCTGTCGCGGCTCCCCTGAGGCTTCAGAACATATGAGTTCCGAGCTAGGAAACGACCTAGGGCAGCACTTGAGTCCGTCAACGCTAAGACTCTACCAATTTCGTGATCATCCGTCGAACCACGACGACTGAACCGGATCCTCAGTATGGTCTCGAGGATACGATATCGCCAATGAAGGAGGGATTTCGTCAGACCAAAGAGCTCCTTGTCAATGATATCATACCGGCGTTCCGCCTTAGACCATCGATGTGTCCAAATGCCGATGACTCGTCCCCAATTCCCTAGCCACTCGGAGTCGACCTCCAAGGGTTTATCAAGGGCTGTGAGTAGTTCCCGACGACTGCCAACATACAATACAGCCGCGGCGGCTATTGGACTCGCATCGCTAGACAGAACGAACTGTATGTCCTCCTGCGCCGTGGATGCCGTATGAAATCCGATCGTCTGAGGAACCATAGTACGAAAGATCTTCGCCCATATTTGGTCGAACTCTGGTGTCCAAGGGAGTCTAGCGTTGCGGCGAGCTCCTGTAGAGGTCATCTCGCCTATCAGAGCCGTCAAAGGCTGCGTCAGATGAGTCAGCGTGCCAGCGGCTCCCCCCGTAACGGGTGACCATAAACTCTTGCAAAATTGCATGAGGCCAAGTTTTACGCGCAAGCCACGCAAGGTTTGTGGACGGTCCGATAAGGCCAACCGGAGATCCTTCAAGGTGTGGTCAGCCACACGATAACCATCGGGCCCAAGGGACATACCGAGAAATTCTACTTCCCTATCAGGACCTCTAACCTTGTGGGGTGGCACCTCCGCCCCAGCAGTTCGGACGGCAAAGATCACAGCTTGTAACATCGCTTCACATTGAGCCCGAACGGGGTGCCAGAGCAGACAGTCATCCATATAGGTAACCATATAAGGTAATAACTCAGGGACAGCAGTATCCAATAGCCGGCGAAGGGCGTAGCACCAATAGCTAGCGCTATGCGTCCATCCCATTATCATACGACGATGTAA